TCAGGTTTCCCTGCTTGCTTGTCTACCTTGATGAGGGTCAGAAAAGCATTTTGTCTCTGTATGCTCTGGATGCCCTCACTCAGGACACCATAGCACTTGGCAACATGGAGCCAGAGCTCCCCTGGGCACTCTGGTGCTTCTCTTGGATACGTTGCTGTGAGCCTGGCTGCACTTTCTGCAGGCTGCCATCCAGGAGGTCCATCGAAGGTCCGTGAGTATCCAGGAGGCCCTGTGGGAGAGCTTCCCTGGTCTGCCCCACTTGGGGCTTGTGCCTCATTCCTCCCTCACGTCCTTCCACTTACCCATCCCTAACTCCCCTTCCTGATGTCAAATAAAATACACGTATTTTCATGAACACAAACTCTCTTTATTTAACAAAACTGAGGGCGGGGGGATGAAGCTCTGGTGAGACTGGGGAAAGGAGGCGGGAGAGGGAAGAAGAGAGGGGAGGAGGAAACCCGGGAGGAGGGAACTGAAAGGGGGAAGCAAGGGGAAGAAGGGGAAGAAGGGGGAGGGGAAGCTCAGGGCTCAGGGTTGGGGGTTTCGCCGGACCACCTTGATTTTCATGCAAACCTGCTCCTGGGTTTGCATGTGGCCTTTGGTGGCCAGGCTGACAGCCATCCTGCCATAGACAGCCGTGTTCCTTTGACTAGTGTGGAGATCATGGACATGGGGGGCATCCCCTCAAACCTGAATAAGGTCCATGATCTCCACCCTAGACCAGGAAGGCGCCCGCCTTCTCCAGGCCCTGGCAGGCTCCTCGGAGATGTCAGACTGCTCCTGGGGAGTGGTGGAGGGCTGGCTGCCCGTGGCTTTTTGGGTCCCCAGAGTTAACCCCTTTAAGGGCTCTGTGGAGGGGGGGAGGGAGAGAAGTGTTCTTGGTTGAGGCCGGAGTGGCCACCAGGACACCCTGGGAAGGCTGGAGGCCCCCTATTTCAAAATAAGTGTCTACACAGCACTTATTTTGAAATAGCTATTTTGAATTTGGTTTTATTCCTCGTAGAATGAGGTTTACCAAATTCAAAATAAGTGCTCTGCTATTTCGAATTTATTTCGAAATAGTGGTTTGGCTGTGTAGATGCTAGGAAAGTTATTTCAAAATAAGGGCTGTTATTTTGAAATAACTTTGCTGTGTAGACAGACCCTTAGTTAAAAAGACTCAGGGTAACCCACTTTGGCAAGCAACAACTACACTCACACACTTACAAAAAATCCCACATCTTGAAATCTTTGTTTTCTAAGCTGAATTGGAGCAGGGCCAAATTTATCCCTACTGTAGTTCCAGGGCTTTCAAAGAACTTGTGTCAGGGACAAATCTGGACCTGTAGGTTTAATAGTCAAAATGACCTAAGGTTCTAGTCTTTCCTGGAGTACTGTAATTATCAAAATCTTCCTCTTGCCTTGCCCCTTACATTGTGCACCTGTCCTTTGTGAGGTGGTATTTTGTAAACTTCCCAGCTATATCAATGGAAGAGCATTTTAAACAGAAGGGCAGAGGGGCATGTATATTCCTTTAAAAATGTTTGACAAAGGATGGATAGGACTAACTTTCAGGAGTATGAGCTGAGATAAATGGAGAAATAGAGATTCAGAGGTATTTTTACGTAGTTAAAAATCCACAATGAAAGTATTTTACAGGGTAACACACGGCAATCTAACTTGGAAGCCGAAAACCTAACTATTCATAAACATTCCTAAAAGATAGTCTTATCCAAATGGTTGTCATCCTACTTTAATGATACATAACATCGGGATTTATATCCAGTGCATCAGACATAGACAGAAAAAGACACATAAAATACACACATTTTTTCTTTTCATAAAGCTATTGAGCTGCACAGGTCAAATTTAAGTGCACAGGGTCACACAAAGGCAGCATTCCCAATGGAACAGCTTAGACTGTAAGAGAAATGAAACTGTTGTATCTCTGAATGTTTCTCTTGAGGATTTCAGAACAAGGACCGAGTACGCGTTCAAAGCGGGGACGATCCAGCTTGACACACTTCAGTGGCCCACGTGCCACTACAGTAGCTGCCCTGGGACGATTGAGCAACAGCGCTATCTCCCCTAGAAGCAGAAATAAAGATACTGTCACATATTCTCTATTTCTTATTCTTCAGTGTGCACTATTGATATTCTACATTCCTTAACAAAAATCTCGATGGACACCTAACATCATTTGGTTGCAGGTACTGTTGTGTTATCCATGTTTGTGCCATTTAAAATTACTCTAACATTCATATTTTAATGATTCTTATTTACACTGATGCAGAATGACACCATCTCCAATGAAGTTAGTCAGGATTTACACCATGGTAGATGATAGTGGGATTTGGCTCTATATATACACAGGGAGATCAAACTAATTACCTTTCTAAAAATATTTTATTTCACTGATTTTTTTCTTACCAAAATAATCTGAGGGACCAAGTCTTCCAACTTCTACATACTCCTCATTATCAGATCTGCGCTGAAGAACAGAAGCTGTGCCCTAGAAAACATAATTAAAAACGTGAACAGTTGAATCCCTTTGCTAGATTGTGACATACTGTGCTTGTAAAAAAACCCATAAATCCAGAGTATTTCCCTTTGGCACTGCCTCAGCCATGTTCTTAGAGTACCAGGTATAAAGAGATGGCAATCTCAATCGACATAACTCCATTTTTAATAGAAGTAATAAAGAAGAAAAAAATTCAATAATACTGCACGGTTGGATACACTTTTACGAGTGCATCTATTGTACATGTGGCGCTCCTTACTGAAATCATGAGGAGCTGTGGTTCTGTCCTTAAACGCTACCACAGTGACTTGCATAACTAGATAATCTACTATTGAAAAATGTATTTTGCATGAACACAGGGCCTTGTGAAAGGTGCAGGGCTGACAGACTCGAAGGCTAACAGGCTCAGAACATTTATATCACACAGGCAGCAAGAGAGGAAGCCCTGCAACTGTGTTTTGCCTTTCAGTCCTTATGCCTGTTCTGCTGTCAACAAGGGTCCTACTGTGCTCACTGCAAAACTGAACCAGGTCCACCCAACACCTTTCACACGAACCCACTAAACCTCCATCATGGTGTAATAATGCTTGATCTAACCTAGGATACATATGCGTCGGAAACTTAAGAGGTGAAAATCTTTATAGCTCATTAGCAGTCCCATACTTCATCCAATTCTCTGGTGAATTACATATTTTAATAAAATAACCAAGGGAAAAGCATTTCAAATGGAGCATCCAACCCCCAAATTCCCATACTATACTATATTCCTCTTAAAGGAAGATTTACGTTTTGTCTACACTACAGAGCTTTTAGCAACACAGCTGTACTGATACAGCCATGTCGCGAAATGTCAAGCAGCGTAGCCATTGTATGTGACCTCTTTTGCTGACAAAATATTTTCCCCACCCCAGTGAGTGGACATGCTATCCACACTGGCACTTACTGTAGCAAAACTTTTGTCTTGCAGGAGGGAGCAGTTAGCCCCCCTGGATAACAAAAGTTTTGTCGTTCAATTGCCAGTGCACACATGGCCTTAATGATACCATATGCTATTCCCAAGTCTTGTCTACACTACCATTTTTAATTGTGTAATCATAATAGCTTTAGGGATAAATATGTCAAGTAAACATTGTTCCTTAATCTACACTACAATTAATAATTGTGCTAGTTAACGCCTGTTAGTTAACACATGTTAAAACATGATTACAATCTGTAGCACAGGCAAGCCTTCAAAAGAAGTTCTTGGCATATATAAGTACTATTTCTTGCAGGAAATCTCATATTATTTTTGATGTACACCACAAAGTTCTCAGAGATGAAATAAAGAGGGTATCTCTGGCTTCAAGCCACCCATTCTTTTGTAGTAACAAAGAAAGGATTGACAAAGGAAATTTCAAGTCAGTGCTATAAAAATACATCTCAAAAGGATAAGGCAAAGAGGAAATGTATTTATTTTCAGTAGAAACTGATGAAAAAATAAAAACGATAAATGACCTAGAGACACGATTATTTGAGACAAGAATTATGATGATACCATAAGGACAGTGCAGGAGCAAAGGAAGCTTTGTAACCTAAGTGTGGAGCATCCATAATAGAGGATTGATCCAAATCTGCATCGTTTCCATCCTTTCCAAATCACCCCCAACAGACAACAATGGGCCTTATTATAAGAGGACAGAATGTGAATAAATAGGTTTATGTTTTCCCTTTTGGAAAAATAATACTTGGAGCCAAATTCTGCCCAAGCCAGGGCAGCGAAGGGGAACAGACTCAATGTCTGCTGTGTCATGTACCAGAAAGATTCTGCCAGTCAGGGGAAGGTCCACGGGGCACCATATGTTAATATATTTTGCTACTACTTAGTTACAAGTTGGCTCTTGGGGTGCAGATGACACAAAACTGCCGACTATTCTTCCCCAACCCACACCCCCAAAACTCCCCACTTGTTAGCCAGTTCCCTGCATTCTCCTAGCAATTCTGGCAAGAGGTTTCCTAAGCTACCACATGGCTGGATTTAGGGCCTGATCATACAAGCTGCTGAGTACCCTCAATTCCCATTAGTTGCAATGGAATTTGAGGACCCATTGCACCTTACAGGACTGGGCCTTAGTCTTTGTGTTTTATTCAAATGGCCTACAAACCAGAACAGAAATATATGGCTAAATAACCATGGATTTTTTTCTGGCATAGTTCAGCACAGTAACAACAAACAGTAATGGAATATTCAGTGTTATGTAAAAGATTATCATAATTTGCCTTCCTCTGAACATGTGCTACATTGATAAGGAAAAGTCACCCACAGTTTTCTTGCATCATGCCTTATTTCACAATAGATTACTTTTTTAAAAGCTCATACACTTCTTAAATGCTGGGCTAGTCACCAGGTTAATTTATAACCTTAACTTTTATATAGTGCGCAAATCAGAACGCAAATCTTGTTTCTAATCATGCCAGCAACCGCATGTAAATATTCAATAAGGTTTGAGCATTAGTTCACAAGTCCCCAGCATCTGTTGCTGTTCGTCATTTATCAGATTAATCCAGCACATTAAAAGTTAGGATCTCCTGTTGCTTCCTTACCAGTAACATGTGCTTAGTATAGACTACTAGACTGCACTGTTGACTTGTTCTCTTGGGTATCACAGTTTACAATATGAAGTACTTGCTTCAACAAAATTTCAAAAAAGAATAAACACTATGAGTAAAATCCTAATGCCAGTGAAGTCACTTGCAAAACTCTTATTGGCTTCAATAAGGGCAGGTTGGATTTCATCCCTAAAGAGCAGACACGGTGAAAACATGAAATTCACAAACATGCTATAGAGACTTCCCACTGATATGGGCAAAAGCCTACAGGATCAGTGTCCATACTGTTTTTAAATAAGCCAGGCTAACACTTAATTTGTTTCTCCATCAAAATACAGCTGTTCACATAAAACTATGGAAAGCAAATTTAGGGCTACCCATTGAGGTAAATGGATAGGGGGCAAAATATACTAACGTGATTTGGTGATTTTTAAAGTTCCTGCAAAAATCCTTTATTCTTGATAAACCTGTAAGAGGCTGGAAATACAGTAAGTGCACTGACATGTTCTTTGCCACATTAACTACAATAGCTCTCACAAAGTGCATGTGTACACACACATAAAATGCTTCACTCTCAGGAGTAACTAAAAGGTACAGAATCATCCTGCTATTCCTAAATGCCACATTAGCTGCATCCCATGGGCCCACCTTTGCATTTCTTTAGCACCCAATTTGCTGTGTGAGGCATGCAAGATGAGCCTCCATGATGAGTTTCAGTCTCTGTGCTTCTCTCGTTAGTTCCACCTGAGTCACAACCTGAAGAGTGGCAAAACCCTCACTCCTTCATCAAAGCATCTCTCTGAAATCTAAGCCTCTGGTCTCTTTCCCACTGTAGTTGTTCCAACATTTATTACAAATGAAAACCTGATAAACAAAATGAGAAGAGTACTGACTCTACTTGTTAAACTTCCCAACTACCCATCCTGAGATAATGACAATATCAAGGAGCACTACTTGCATCTCTCCTAGTATCACCTTTTATGGGCCTCTTTTAATATTGTTAATATTTTGGATAGGGTCCATGTGATATAAAACTTCAATCAGTCAAGAGTTCTCTGAAGCAATTTCTTCCACTGTTCCACTGCTGTCTGCCTTTTTAGAAACACCGTGATATCTGCTGGAGAAGCACAGATGTGTCTGGGCTCCACAATAAACAGCTTGGCAGGCTAAAGCATATTCCAGATACATATTTTTCCACTCTTGTTTTAACAGTCACATACACTCTTCCCACTGCTCAGCAAAAACAGGTCTAGCATAGAGTCAAAGAAGTTTCCTGAAAGTCTGACAGCAGCACCCAGACGTAAGACCTGATTTGCCTCTTTTTTGCAATAGTTGCACAGTACACACGTACATCCTTGGACAAGTGTCACGCTATAGCAAAAAGAAAAGGTTGTTTATAATTATCCACCCATAACCCCTCCAGTTTGCACTATGAAAAAATATTCAGTAGCTTTTGTCCCTAGGAACTGAGTCTGCTTTGACTCTGAAAGACTCCAGTGGTATATGTATAATAAGCCCATTGCAGAAATTAAATAAATCATAAAAACCCTACAACCCTTTATTTGCCATCAGTAATTGTAAATTAATTATTCCAAAACTAATTAGATATTAGTTTCCCCAGCCTCTAGCTCTACCCCAAGGTTTCACAGCCATACTTCATCCTAGCTTACTTTTCAGATGCTCACAGCTGTCTACATCCATGTGTGTAGCCTGCAGAGCTGTCCTTAGGCATTTGCAGTTGTGCAGGATGTCATATCACCACACCCACGGGAGGGAGAGGGGTGTTGAGGCTGGGCTGCATAGGGCACCAGCACTGGTAGCCTGGCAACTATGTTAGCCTGGCAACCCCAACTTCTAAAAGAAACCCTCATCTGCTTGAACAGTGCAATTGGTTCCAATCATGGGAAGCAGGAGCATTTTCTGACAATGCTCAGAGAGCCTATGTGCCCTCTCTTCCCACACAGCACTTGATCTCAATGGGAAAAGATTGCAGGATTCAGGGCTCCCTGGGGCAACTTGTGTGATCAAAGTTTTGCAGGATCTGGCCCTTTAAAGCTGTTCAGTTTAAAACGGTATCTTATACACTGATAGTTATTTCATCCTCCTCCACTGTAGAGCAAAACCTTTAGGCTATGTCTACACTCGCGCCTTCTTGTGCTAGAAATATGCAAATGAGGCTAAGCGTGGAATATCACGGAGCCTCATTTGCGTACCTAATGAGCTGCCATTTTTGCAGAAGAAGCTCTTGCACAAGAAGGAGCTGTCTACACTGCCCCTTCTTCCGCAAGAAAAACCCTCTTGCGCAATGCCGCTACGCTGATTATTTTCAGGAATAACAGCATTGAGCAAGAGGGTTTTTCTTGCGGAAGAAGGGACAGTGTAGACAGCTCCTTCTGGCGCAAGAG